GCTCGACAAGATTCGAAAAGGACCCAAGGGAAAAATTCAAAAGAACGAGGCAATTTCCCTCGCGATGTCCGCGCCCAAAAAGATCGAAACCGAACCGAAAGAAACGACGTCGACATTTATTAGTCGCGCGCGCGTGGCGTCGCGCCAAACATCCATCCGACCAATCACTCAACCGGCCGTCCCAGGACACACCCAGCCCCGAAGAAGCGACGAAAAAGACGAAGAAGCAAGGGTACTGATGCAATTTTCCACCGATCCCGATTTCCCATAATTGGCCCAATCTTCCCAGCTTAGGACCCCTCGTTGCAACCGCGCAGGAACTCGCGCGTTACAGAAAGTGGTTCGTCACATGCTCTTATCACCTCACCTAGTACCTTGAGCCTGGGTTCAAAAAAAAGAAAAAAAGAAAAAGAGGGGTATGCGTTCCGGAACTGGAACCTGAAAGATCACAGAAGCAGAGCCTCTGCCTCTGAAATCAGCCACTTCCAGTGTTGCGAAATCCAGGATGAGTTTTCAGCCAGCAAAATATTCAGGTTCACCTTGTAAGGGTACATGTTCTGCCACTGAAATATGAAAGCTCACAGGAGGATTGCCTCTTTTTCTGATTTCAAACTACTTTTGTGGTATTATGTTTCATCCAGCATGACTTCAGCTTACTTTGCTGGTATTATGTGATCGAGCACAGGTTTGAAGCAAGCAAAACAAAAGCATTCGCCTGCTGAGCGTTCCTGTTCCCTTGCAAGGGTATGTGTGCCAACAGTGGAAGCTGAAGGCTCACAGAAATATGGCCTCTGCTTCTGGAGTTTGCCAAATCTGGTGTGAGCATGATGAGGGTAACACAAAGAATCATCAGGAACAGGAGCATGTGAACAAATCAAGGCTGGCTGGCCCACTCGATCGTGACAAAGACATATACACATCCCATGCCTCGGAAACATCTGCGGATTGCTCAGAAAAGGACTTGTAAGCACAAGTTTCAAGTGAGCCTTTTAAGCAAGGTACTGAACCAAGCACAAGGACTGCAGGCAGATTCCATAATTAGCCAAAAAACAGGGCGACATGGAGCCCGGAATGGAATGGTTCTATCCTCTCTGAACACTGAACTTCCAGTTGGTGGAGAGTTCTGCGAGCATGCAAGGAAGATGCAACCATGCCAAGAAGTGGACAGTGGATTCAAAGAATCATTGAGAACAGAGTAATTTGAAGCGTCACTTGATCTCTGCACAGACAATTTTGGTCCTTTACTCTCTCTCTC